AAGAGCCCCAGCCCTTTCCATATCTGTGAACTGCTCCTTTGCCCTTTTGCCTACTTTCCTTTGTAGTTCTACCTATATAAGCGCTGGCTTATGGTGGGCTGCAGAGCAGATTTTTGTGGACAACCTGCTGCTCTCCCATATTGCCATCAATATTGGAATAAATGCTCATATATGATTCAGCCTTGTCTGTAGTTAACTGGCTTGAGTAGTGACAGGCAGCACGGACTCATTGTTTGTCCAGTTACATTTTCTTCTCTGGAAAAAAAAAAAAAAAGTTGTGGTGAGAGAACAGGTCTTTAAGACATACCTGGGTTATAGGAATCCTCAACTCCATCCCACCAAAGGGTTTCAAGAACTCCAGCCGTTGGGAGCAGCCAGGCCCAGAACAGCAGCAGCCAGGCCAGGAGCGGCCAGGCTGGAGCAGCACCAACCAAGCCTGGAGCAGCAGCTGTCAGGCTGGGAGCGGCCAGGCCCAGAGGCCGGGCCCGGAGCAGCCGGGCCCAGAGCAGCAGCAACCAAGCCTGGAGCAGCCAGGTTGGGAGCTGCCACGCCCAAAGCAGCAGCTGTCAGGCTGGGAGCGGCCAGGCCCAGAGCGGCCGGGCCCGGAGCAGCTGGGCCCAGAGCAGCCGGGTCGGGTGCGGCCAGGCCCGGAGCAGCAGCAGCCAAGCCCAGAACAACCAGGTCAGGAGCGGCAGTGGCCAGACCCAGAGCAACTGGTTGTGGAATGGACCAGAGCAACAGAGGCCAGGCCTGGAGCATCCAGGCCCGGAACAGCTCGCTCCTCTCCTGTCCCCGCCCCAAGGCTGCCTCTCAGACATGGCTGGAAACTTTTGGGGGAACTTGAAGGTCTGCTGAATCAAGTGATGAAGGCTTAGATCTGGATGTGTTGAGTTAGTATAGCGCTGGGGTGTTGATCTGTGAGTGCCTTGGGTGGGGCCTGGATGAGGTTGGTTGATCTATTTGGAAATGTCTTTTGTGTGAAGTGTATCCTTGGGCATGTGGAGGTATTATAATTTTGAGAAAATGCTAAGCAACTGATTTACTATCTGAAAAATTTAAAGTTCTGAAAGTTTAAGGTCTCTTGCCAAAAAGGTTTTAAAGCTAACACCTTAATTTTAATGGAGAAAGGGGAGGACAAGCCCTTCCCACCCAGAACAGGTAATCCAATTCCAACCAGCAGCTATGTTTAAACAATGTGTACATTTACACTTGAATGACTACACCTTTTGATAGCCTAAGGGCAAGTTTACATGTAAACAAGTTTGTTCAATTCCCAGGGCAGAAAAAAAAAATAAGGTTTAAAATTATTAGATTTTAAAATTTATTCTTAGAAGTGTAAAAGTTTATTAATTTTAAAAAAACAACAAAAAGGAGATTGAAAAACCTGATGAACAATAATAGCTGTTCATTGTAGTAGAGTCGGAGATATGGGAGGGGAGTGGACTGACTGTTCTGGGGGGGGGGGGGGAAGGAAGGGAGGAAGAGACTGAACATAAACTGTGCACCAATGGATGAGGACAATGGGGAGTGGGGAGGGGGCAGAGGGTGGGGTAGGAACCTGGTGGAGGGGGGAAGAAATGAGGAACCTTTGTAATAATATGAACAATAAAGATTGATTTAAAAAAAAAAAAAAAAAAAAAAGAACTCCAGCCGAAACCGGTTTGGCTCAGTGGATAGAGCGTCAGCCTGTGGACTGAAAGGCCCCAGGTTCGATTTCGGTCAAGGCCATGTACCTTGGTTGTAGGCACATCCCCAGTAGGGGTTGTGCAGGAGGCAGCTGATCAATGTTTCTAACTCTCTCTCTCTCTCCCTTCCTCTCTTTAATAAATCAATAAAAATATATTAAAAACAAAAACAAACAACAACAAAAAAAACACAAAAATTTCTTAAAAAAAAAAAAAAAGACCTCCATATTCATTAGTGTATGTAGGAAGGCGGGGGTGTTCACAATGGCTGGCAGGCTGAGCTGGGGATTGCCTTACAAAAGTCCTCAGGCCCTGGAGGACATATGGACAGATGCTAATTCTGTCTCCCAGATCTCCATGGCCCAGTGGCATTCAGGAATTTAAGGAGTCTTGCTTCCGCATCTCTGGCTGGCTGCTAGACAAGTCAGCCCTGGTAAAGTTGTAGTCTACCTGCCAGGAGGAAGGAGGCACTGTCCAGAGAGCAAAGCAGGTAAGTGGTGGGTGGGGCTGGCAGCCTCTGGGATGGTCTGGGTCTGCCGAGGCAGGAGTTAGCTTACCTTCTGCTCTTCACCAGCTCCAGGTCCGAGAGTAGGTGGCTTTCTCTGAAGAATTCCAATGGCCTCCTTCTTTCCACCTCCTAAATCTTCATATTAACCCTTTATATATCCCAGCCTCTCACTGTGGAGATGATAAAACCCTGGGGTCTTGGGCAAGTAGCCCAAGAATCAGAATGACCATATAGGCCCTGGAGTCCTAGTTCACAGCCCTGTGTTTCCTACTGTACCACTCAGAGGCCAAGGACTGCCTGTCTTTCTAGCCTGGAGCAAGTTGCTTCTCCAATGGCTCTGGTTTGTTTTCTACACAATTGTTTTCTCATGGACTACACAGCTCTGACATGTTAGACTCCTACGGAAAGCTAACACCTTAATTTTCTATCACCATTCCTAACCCAATGGAGAAAGGTGGCAAAGAGAAAGTCGGTTGAATAAAATTATAGATTTGGAACTTTGAAATAAGGAAATTTGAAAACTTTCCCCACACATACTATTTACCAAAATTATTTTTAAAGTTATTTTATTGCTTTGAGAGAGAGAGAAATTGATTTGTTGTTCCATTTATTTGTATATTATTCATTGGTTGATTTCTGAATGTGCCCTGACTGGGGATAAAACCCACAACCCTGGTGTATGTGAATGATGCTCTAATCATCTGAACTACCCAGCCAGGGCTAAAATTATTTCATTTATTATTATTATATTTATTTATTTTCCTTGTTAATCCTCACCCAAGGATATTTTCCTTTGATTTTTAGAGACAGTGGAAGGAGAGAGAAACATCAATGTGAGAGAGACAGATTGATTGGCTGCCTCCCACATGCACCCTGACAGGGGCAAGGGATTGAACCTGCAACCCAGATATGTGCCCTGGAATCGAACCTGTGACCCTTGGGTGTGTGGGCCAGTGCTCTAACTGCTTAGCCACATTGGCCAGGGCCTAAAATTATTTTTAATTGAGATGAAATACACATCAAAGTTATCATTTTAAAGTACACAATTCAGTGGCATTTCATTCATTCATGATGTGTATAACCACCACGTCTATCTAGTTCTAAAATATTGTCAGCCCTGAGCCCGTTAAGCAGTCAGTCCCCACTCTCTCCTCCCCAGCCCCTGCAGCTGTCAGTTTACCTTCTGTCTCTATGGATTTGCCTATTTTACATGTTTCATATAAATGGAATCATACAACAGGTGACCCTTTCTGGCTTCTTTCATGCAGCATGTTTTCAAGGTTCATTTACACTGTGGCATGGATCAGTACTTCATTCCTTTTTAAAAAAATTTTATTGATTGATTTTAGAGAAACAGGAAAGGAGAGAAAGAGAGAAATTTGTTGTTCCACTTATTTACGCATTCCTTGGTTGATCCTTATATGTGTACTGACTGGGGATTGAACCTGCAAATGTGGTGTATCAGGACAATGTTCTAACCAACTGAGCTACCAGGCCACGGGTAGTACTTCATTCTTCCTTATGGATGAGTAATATTCCATCCATTTTTTTCCCTTTTATTCTAAGAATAATGGCCATAGCTTTATTAATGGAGAATCTACAGTGTGTCAGGTACTTACGTGATTTTATTTATTCCACTGATTTATATACCTTAGTCCCGCCTAGGAGCACATGAAAAAACTGAAAGCCTGAGGGGACAGCAATCTTCCCAAAGGTCATATAATGACCTTCCCAAAGGTCACATAGCGATTAGTGGTTGGTTAACCAGGGATAGAACCCTGGTGGTGCTTTGATTCCCTGGTGCCTGCAGGGCTTGAGAAAAGTGGAGACAAAAAGGCAATTGGCAGAAAGCCAAGAGGAGCCCGGTTGGGGGAAGATCACCAACCTGGGGTATGACAGGGACAAGAAGAGATGAGGTGACTCTTCAGCAGCCTCCCAGCTGCCTCTCTCCTGCCATCTCCACTAGGTCCCTTGCAGGCCCTCCCCCCCAACCTCCACCCATCCTTTCTAATGTGGTTTGCCTGCTTCCACTTTAGGCCACTTGTCCTTGGTACTCCATTGTAAAAGCGGAGGAATCTGGGGTCAACTGCAGCACATAGGCCCTAACGGAATGCTCTGGGGGAATCACTCTGACCTTTGCTTGTTCTACTCCTGTCCCTCAATGGAGGCCTGCTCAGCCTACCTCAGACTTGAGACTCTTCCACCAGCCTAGGCCTGAGCTCTGCTTCCCCAAACCCTGCGAAGGACCTGCAACCCAGCAGAGTTACCTCCAGTCTTTTTCCAGACGTCAAATGGTCCACGGAGGGGTAGAATTGAGGTTATTTTTGCCTAAAAAGCTTTCTGTACTCTGATAATTCCAGTCTTGTTCCAGTAGGCTATGGGAGTGGAAGTAATTTCTTTCTCACATTTCTTACAGTCTTCCCTCCTCCCCCCAGCCCTACACACACACACACACACACACACACACACACACTGTTTTTCTCCCCACTTTTCATTCTGTCCCTGAGAATGGAAACCCTCCTCTGCTCTCCCTGCTCTCTCTGTCTCTCACACCCCTACCCGCAATATTCCCACTTGCTATGAGAGTGCCCTCCAAGGAAGATGTAACAGTTTAGAGTTTCAGTAGAGTCTTAGGAGCCTGGGCTACAAAGATGGCTTGAAGTTGGGGAGGAGCCGGAGAGATTCCATTCTGGGAAGCCAGAGTCCGTCAGCCACTCAAAGCCTTCCTGCTTAAGGTACATTTACTGAGAACCCTGGAGCCTACGGGTCGGTGTGTCCACCGTGGTCCTCACCCATCTGGAGGCTTT